TGGCTTATTGCTTCTCTGGGGGGAACAGCAAAAGCGAGCGCTCGCAGTGAGCGAGCAACATTTTACAGTATGTAACAACAAAGTACTAATTGCTTAATGTGTCTAATGCACCCTGCAGCACTCCCTCTGGTTTAGTGGAAAGATGCAAACCCCACCAAGCAATAAAATGGCTGAGTAAAAATACGGCCAGCTGATTGCTTTGGTAGTAGTTGGGGAAGCGAAGAAATCAGCTGGAGATAACCCAAAACTAGACTGCCGAAAAGAAATGTGAGTTCTCCTCCTCTTTCTCAGCCTCAGGTCTGCTGCACTAACGCAAACGGTTTATTCAGAGATTAAAAACTGGGCTGAGATTGTAAAATACGAAATTTGGAGCTTTTAAAGGATGGCTAGGAGTCTGCAATGCAGAAGCACATTTGTGTCTGGGTATTGTACAGAAAAAGAGAGACCGCAGGTGCAGGCTTGCTTTGTGTGGCCTCTCATTGCAAGGCTGGACTTCAACAAGGCCAGCACTGCCTCAGCAAAAACCACTGTCCTGGTCAGGGCTCAAGTCCCTCGGTCACCACGTGGGTCATGGTGACAACTGAGATGCACAGAGGGATGCTGGAGGGTTTGAGTACATCATTTTTTTTTTTTTCTCCCCCCCCCGAGGTAATAAATTGTTTGTTCCACCCAGATCGGGTTCGTGCTGTTCCAGCCGTGGGGAGGTCCGATGTGGGATGAGAAGGACCACAACAACATCATGTTCATCACCATGTGCTTCTTCTGGCACTGGGCAGCCGCTGTGGCCATCCTGACGATAAACTACACTCTCACTTGCTGGTACGGCTGGGGCATGAATTTGGGCAGGAGAGGGGTGGGCAGACAGGGATGGGGACGTCTGGAGGGAGATGCGGATGTGCTCCGGCCGATCCTGGAGCACAAAGTCACAGCTGAATAAGCAGCCCCTAACTGCTGCAAGTTTTAGGGCACGGCGACAAATGTGCGTGTTATTTGTCGAGTGCACAGAATGCAAAAGAGCGTCAGCAAGAGGCACGGGCATTAAACGCAGAGGAGTCAAATAACCGAGCACCTGAAGCTGCTCCTGGAACTCGCATCATTTTTTTTCCTCTGCACCGAGTGCTGGAAGTCAAACTTTAATTCGATAGAGAAATCAAAGCATTACCAGGACAGCCTGACACTTTGTCCCCTCCCTTGCAAGGATTTCGAAGCGGTTGACAGTGGCTGAGGTACAACAGCACTGTCTGATTGCTAAGATATCGCCAGCCCCTGGCATGGCTTTTCCAAGGGAGCGGGACGGGGACGTTATCCCACTTTTAGGGATGCTCCTACAGCCTGTGAGCCTCTAAGGGATGCTGCATGGCTTGCTGGGACATGGGCTACAGAAGGGGTAGTCTGGTCTACGCAAGCAAATAGACTTCATACAGAACAAAAAAAAACCCCAAACCCCCAGCATTTTAGGAGCTTTATGACAATTTCTCCCCCTCTGAGTATTCATTACAAGCGCACTTCGCTCCCCTGAACAGGCTGGTGAGTGGCACTAGTTTGGGGGTTTCTCTAATGGTGGTTTACTGCTCGTGTGTTACAGCTGCGTCCAGAGGTGCAGGAGAGGCGGCGAGCCCTACATCGGCCTCGGAGTCCGGCAGCAAAAGTGTGACACGAGCTCCCAAGCTGCCTTCTTAAATGGATCTGATGAAGAATGAAGAGGGTGCAATCTCCTTCTCCAAATACGCAAAGAGTCTGTTTTCTAGGAGAAAAAAAAATAATTAAAATCTAATTACAAATTTATGTTTTGGAAGAGCGAAGAGAGGTGCCACCGTCCTGCGGCTGGGAAGCATCTTGAGCGCACGGGTGGTATCTGCCCTCCGTCCGTACCCGAATATCGCCATCTCTGAAATGAGCGCTGTTTGCAGTGATTTTTAGCAACAAAATGAAGTGCAGAAATTCAATGCGACAAGCTCGCTTTGTCCGATGGGCTCCCAAGTGTGTTTCCATAGTGATGGAGGGCACCCTTTGGCCAGCTGACTTTTCCAAAGCGCCTGGAGGCTTTGACCTGCCGTGATTGAAGTCAGGGAAACCTCCAGGCTTGAGGTCGTGCACCTCCGGACCAAGGCGTCGCCCCAAGGAGGAAGAGTAAAAGAGTGCTGAATGTGAGCTTATGTCAAATTTGCAACATCGTGGCTTGTTTGTGCGCAATACGAATCTTATTAGCGAAGCTTTGAACCAAAGCGGGGTTCTGTTAATAGTTTTCATATTCACTTAAAGGCTGAAAGAGTGAAAAAATGTGAAATAAAAATCCTCAACAAGCTGATATCCTTAAATTTAAGTCTGATAAATTATAGAGTGTGTAATAATAGCTTAGACAAATCCATCCCTTAGACCCATAAAGCCTGAAGGGCTGTAAGATACATGGCGAAGCAGCAGGGATTCATAAAACGTCCCAGTTTTCTATTGAAAATAAACCCCTCAGCTTGGAAAGTGAGACGAAACAGGCACACGTTTTGTTTTTAGCCTGCCTTTGCCAGCTAATTTCTTGCAAAAAGTGACTGGAAATGTCACCTCCTAGATATGAAGAAAATGTGCCAGCAAGCGAGTATGGGGATTAAAAATATATATAGATACGAAAAATAAACACCAGCGCAAGCTGAATTGCAGCTGTTCATGTCTCAAACCCTGGGGCTGGAAGGATGCTCTGCACTGAAGCCTTCTCACTGCTGCGTAGCTGGCGAGATGGATGGCAGCTGATTTTCTTTCTGCTTGTGCTCATGACTGAGCAAAAAAGCAGCTCCTGGCAGGTCCCAGCGTCTGCGACTGTGCGCTCGCACCCAGGGAAGGCAAAGCTCATCTTGTAACACCCTTTCCCCTCGTGCAAAGGGCTGCTTGCAGACTAAGGGGGCTGCAGCCTGGATTTTATTGCTTATTAACAGAGCTATAAAGACTAACTAGCTTTCCTTGCATGCCAGCTTTCCTGTATTTCCACCACTGGGCCGCTTTAGTTTGCAGGGCTGGATGTCGGGAGGTGCAAACAGGCTCGGTGTGAAGAGAATTAAGCAGCGGAGCAATACATCTCCGTAAGTCCATCTGATAAACACCGTGCAATTAAGTCTCCTGAGTTGTAACCACTGAACACGACGAGCGTTTTGCAGATACTTTTTTCTGCCAGGTGGAATCGTTTACCTAAACTGCACAAATTCCTCTTGCTGCTAAGATGAGACGCAACCCGGGGAGCGCATTTTGCAGGCTGCTGCCTCCTAATGCACAGAGAAAACCCCATTTGCAAGGTGACATAACCGAGTTACCTAGAGTGCTGCAGGACAGGAATCAGCTCAACTGAACAGCAAAAAGGCCTTGCGTGGTGATCTGAATTATTTCTGCTCTGCTCTGAATTATTGTCTTTTAGACAACAGAGCAAACATCACTATTCTGTGTCCAGTTTTGGGCCCCTCAGCACAAGAAGGACATTGAGGTGCTGGAGTGTGTCCAGAGAAGGGCAGCGGAGCTGGGGCAGGGTCTGGAGCACAGGGCTGGTGGGGAGCGGCTGAGGGAGCTGGGGGTGTTCAGCCTGGAGAAGAGGAGGCTGAGGGGAGACCTCATCGCTCTCTGCAACTACCTGACAGGAGGTTGTAGTGAGGGGGTGTTGGTCTCTTCTCCCATGTAGTTAGCG